GGGGGGGGGGGGGGGCTGTCGGCAGCCCCTGCAGCTGGTACAAACTGGGGACGTGGGCGACGGCCTGACCCACGGGGAGCTTTGTTTCATGTGTTTTGAAAAAGGCTTACTGAAGAGAATGTTGTTCATTCTTTGTAGTGTAGTTTGCAATTCTTAATGGCAAATAACAGTTTCAGTAGAAAACACTTGGTTGTCTGTGTCTTGATTTCTCCTCACGTTCTAGGTGGATGTGGGAAGACGGAGCAGGAACGTTGCCTAGGCTCCTGCTGCCACGGAGGGGGGGTGCTCTGGGGTGGGGTCTGGCGGGCGGCTGTGGCCTGCTCATCGCCCCAGACCCGTCCCGCGTCCCACCCAGCCTGCAAGTGGGGATGCTGTCCTCGGCCTCGCGGTCCCGAAGTGAAAACCACAAGGGAACCTGCTTTTGGGAGAACGCACAGTAGCTCCTTCTTCAAGAAGCTTTGTAGAAAGCGTCCCCAGCGCGGTGTTAGCCTTAGTTTGCTTCATGAAAGCAGCGTCCCTCCAGGTGGGCTGAGACTGCTAGCTGCGGGCAGGCGCACGCAGGACATGGGCAAGGCCGTGGTGGGACGGTCGGGGGTGCCCCCCACCCTCTGGCGCTGCTGCGAGGGGCCCAGGGCAGACACAAGTGGGAAGCACTGAGCTGATCCCCAGCTGAGGAAGTCCACCTGCATCGTGGCCTCTAGAAAATGCCCGCGGGACCTTCTTGTGCTGGAACCGTCCTCCACAACCCGCAGCTTCAAGCCAGAGCCTTCCTGTCAGGATCCCGGAGGCCGGGGCTCCAAGTCAAGGTCTCTACAGGGCCGTTTCCTCCTGGAGGCTCCAGGGGACAAGGTTTACCTCTCTTCCCCCCCTTTTGGAAGCTGCTCGCGTTCCCTGGGTGCATGGCCCTCCTTCCACCTTGAGTGCCCTCTGACCCATCCTGCTGCCCCCCATGTCCCCTGACTAGGGCTCCTGCCTCCCTGCCAGAGACCCTGTGGCTGCGTCTTGGGCCTCCCCGGACGAGGCAGGATGGCCTCTCCTCTCCACCTCGCTGTGCAGGTGCCCTGTCCCCAGGCTCCAGGAGGACCGCGTGTCCATCTTCGGGGACCATCACTCTGCCCACGCCCGTGCAAAAGCCACTGGAGCCGGGGGCTCTGGACCGTGTCACAGCCCGTAACCCTCCCCGCCCACCCCCTGCCCCCGTTGGCCGGCCTGGCCAGATGTCTCAAGACACATGCTGTATTTCCTGAAGAAAGTTTAAGTGTCGGACCGTTTCTGCCCCCGTCCCAGCCCCGCTGCCCCCCACGCGCGGGACCCTCTCTGCTCTGGCTGTTCCTCCCAAGGAGGTTCCTTCCACCTCTGGCCCCACAGCCCCAGCTCGCTCACACCGCCCCCCCCCCCCAGCAGCCCTGACGAGGCTGCAAGAGGCAGAGAGGCTGGTTTGGGGTCTTAGGACTTCAGGCTGACTCGCGTTTTCCTCACAGGGTGCATGGCCTCGGTTGTGTGAAGAAGCACGAAGGCAGCTACGGACAGTGCCGTTGGACTGTCCCTGTGGGTGACCCCGGGGCTCTAGTCGAACCCCGTTTGCAGTTCTGATGGCTTCTGTCTCTCCGTGGCGGGTCCTCGGGCCCTGACCACACGTGTGCTGCCTGGTCTGGGTGCACGTAAGCAGATGCTTCAGATGCACGGCCGTGCACGGCCGACGCCCGGCCGTCAGCAGGGCCGCAGGAGCTGCTGGAGTCCCCTCTGTAAGCAGATGACACAGAACTGGGTCTCCACGACTGCCCCCTTGTGGCCTCACTCAAGGCCGCACAGCCACCAGCCACGCTCACCTGTCACATCCTTTGCCCCCTTCTGAGGTGCCACCCAAGGACCGGGACCGAGGGCCGGCTGCCCAGTGACCACAGACAAGCACGGACCCTTGTGGCCGCACGCAGGCTCTGCCTGGGCCCTGTCGGAATCGCCGGGTCACCACTTGGTGTTCACACAGAGATCCCATCCCAGCCACAGAAGGCAGCTGCCCCTCCAGGTGGGGGGACCCAGACCCACTGAGTGGACGGGGGGATCCCTGCCTGCCCTCCGTCCAGCACTCTGCACTGCTCTCCGCTCCGGATTCTCCCAGAAGTCAACAGAGCACCCCGAGCAGCTTCAAACAGGGCAGACTGACAACAGCGAGCGGCCGAGCCTGCGTCTGCAGCATTGAGACTGGACAGGCCCCCGTGCCCCGGGGACACAGCCCTCGCCCACTAGGAAGGACGCTCCATCAAGCCCACGGCGGCTAAGGAAAGCGAGAGCTTCTGCAGTATCTTTTCAAATGAATTTTTATTAGCGCCTGTAAGAAATTCAGGAGAATTTTAACTGACTGGCATTTCACTGAAACTGCCTGCCTGTGTGTTAAATTCCCGTACGAAAGCACAAAACACAGTAATTTACTGGTATCTTGGGGGTGAGAGAGAGGACCGAGGACAGCGGCACCACAGCACGCCCCACGGGCTCCTGGGGGCTGACCCGCAGCTGCTTGTCTCTGCGTCCTGCTCCGTGAGCACGTCGTCCGGGCATCCACGTACCCCCAGCTCGGCCTCGCAGGACCACAGGAGGGGGCGCGGCATGGCTACTTCCACAGCTCCCCCAGCGGCCTCTGCGCGGCAGCCTGGATGGTGTACACACAGAGGGCGTGGATTTCCTTGTGGACATCTTCGATGCTTTTGGAAGCGTCGACCATCTGTCCCCACGGGGGGAGGCAGGAGGAAAAGAGAACCGTTAACGCTTGTCACTGTTCTCAGTGTATGGTGATTTCAGACGGGGCTGGGTTCTAGAAGGGTACAGTACACATTCGGGTTCTTCATCCTACACCTTTGTCTGACCTTTGCCCTTGGCTGGGGAGGGTGGCCTCTGCCTGTGTCCTTGGGATGAAGCCACCCAGGCTCCTGCTGTGGCCCAGTCTTGCTCCCGATCAGACCCTCACCCTCCCCCAGCTCGAGCCGGCGTGCGCGTCAGTGAGGCGCCCTCCCCACCCCGGCCGGTGGTGGAGCTCCGATCTCCGCAGGGAGAGCCCCCGCCCCTCCCCCAGGCCATGCCTGGATGCTGCTCGGAGCTCAAGGAAGTTCCGCACAGAAGCCAACCCTGGGTCTGAATCCTTTCCTCCCGGGGAAGATGGTTTCATCCTGACCCAGCCGGGCCGCTCTCCCCCTCGATGTGTGGATGCTGTGCCCTCACGTGAAAGGCGTGAGGACCTCCAGTCACTAAGGGAGCCAGCCACCCGAGAAACTGCTCTCCGCCCGAAGCAAGGGGGACCAAGCTGGACAGAAGCTTCTGTGTGCTCAGGGGGGTGCCCTGTCTCACTGCCGGTCCAGGCTCGGCCCTGAGGGGGCCTTTGGGGCAGCCAATTCTGGAGGAGCTGCGGGGGGTGCAGACTCGCTCACACGCGTGTGTGACCGTTCCGTGAGGTCTGAGCGCTCAGCTCACAATGATCTGCACAGCCCAGGACTGCATGTGCGCTCGCACACGGCGTACTACACGCACACGCACCCCGCATACAGACTCGCACACGGGCGTACTACGCACACGCACCCCGCGTACAGACTCGCACACGGGCGTACTACAAGCACACACACCCCGCATACAGACTCGCACAC